TCAATTTTTATTTATAAAAAAAAAAAAAAAAACAAAAAATTTAAAAAAACAAAAAACAAAAAAAAAAGCAAAAAAAACAAAAAAAAAAGAAAATAAAAAATAAAAATAAAATTTAAAAAATTACTATTATATAAAAAAAAATGATCATTTTATTATAATTAATAAATTTTATCAGAGAAATATTATTAGCTCAAATTAGATATATAATAATTTCTTTCATATTTAAAAAAGTATGTAGCTTTGATAATATTAAAAACTAAAATATAATAAAAAACAAATTTTATTAAAAAATTCTCAAAGTCTTATTTTTTTTAATAAATTTTCAAGATTAAAAAAGTTTTAAAATAAGTGAACATTTAATAGCTAATAAAATTAAAACAAAGGTTAACTCTATTTTTAAATATTTTTTTTAATTATATTATTTATATTTGATAATAATTTAAATCATATAGTTAAGATTACTTGTTTAAATTTATTTTGAATTTAATAAAATATCTAAATTTTAGTTTTATTAATTTTTTATTAAAGTTTTATTATAGTTTCATACTTTTATAAACTTTAATATAGTTTTATCTTTTCTAAAATTTTACAAATTTTTAATAAAATTTTAATATAAATTTACCTTTACTATTTAAATGATTTGCAAAATCTTTAAGTTTCACTTAGCATCTTACATGCAGCATTTAAATCTAATATTCTTATAATAATAAAATAAACTTAAAACTCAAAAGAAAGTAACTAAAGATAAGATATTATTTTTAAATTAAATAATTAATAATAAATAAAAATAGTAAATTAAAAGGAATAAATCAGGTTTAATTAAGCATGACTTAAAAAAATAGACTAAATGCTAATTATTGATTATATAAAAATAAGGTAGATAATAAAAATTAGGTAGATTGTTATATACAACAGATTATTTTATTGAAATCTAATTTTTTATTACAAAAAAATACATTGAAAGAAATAATATTAAAAGTTAAATATTAATGTAAGTTTTATTATAAACTTAATTATATTAAATAATATTAGAAGATGATAAAAAGGTTAACTTTAGAAAACTGTAATTAATTTGATTAAATTTAAAGTATATTATTTTAAATAATATTAGACTCTGTAATATAATTATAATAAGAAAATTTGCTAGAAAGGTATAACGTTATATAAATTTGTATAAAAAGAAAATATATATTATCAAAAATATAAATCTTATTGATATATTATATATTGGTAAAATTAAATAAATAAAATTGCAATTCATAATAATACAAAATTATATAAATTAATATAAATATTATAATCATTAAAACTTGTATTTACAAATATATAACATTTATGAGTTTAATAGCTTCAAAAAATGTTGTATTTGTTTAATGCATTTTTGTTATTCATCATTAAGAAGATTTGTTTTATAAATTAATTTTTAATTATTTAAGAAATAACTTTTCATAATTTTCATTTTTAATTTACTTAATCTTCTTAATTATCTTTATTCTAACATTTAGTTTTCTTATTATTTATTATTTACATTATTATTAATATTAATATTATTTCTATAATCTTTAATATAGTTTTCTTCTTTCTAATTCCTTTAGTTAGTTTTTCTCTTACTGATCGTTATATTCCTTTTATTCTATTTCTTTAATATTTCATTTTTATAAATATTTCTTCTCTTCTATATATTTACTTCTTTTTATTTTATTATATATTATTATATTATTTCATCTTATCTTTTTTTAATTGTTTTTTATTTTTCTCTTCCTTTTATTCCTTATATCTTATTTTCTTTATTATTCTATTTTTCTTACAATTAAGTTTTAGATTTTCATTTAATTATTTTACCATTATCATTAAGTTAACATATTCACGCATTTTTAAAATCATATGTTGATCATAATATTTTTAAATTTTTTATTTTATTTTATGATATATTGACATATCTTTACATTTATAAAATAAGATTTTTTATTAGAAATTATTTTAATATAATTTATTATACATTATACAATTTTCATATACTAATAAGCGATAAGCTATATTATAATATTGTTATGAAAAAATTTGTTAATAATTTTAAATTATTTTGTAAAATATTCAGAATTTAATGATAAAACAAATACAGCTTTATAGCAATATTTTATACCTAAATATCTGTCAAAAAGTATTTAACTATTATTTAGCAATTATTACTATATTTGCAAAATTATCATATTACTTTAACTTTCAAATTTGATAGGTTTTAAAAATAATTGATGGGTTTGGAATGATATTTACTAATATTTTTTTTTGAATTTGAATTGAAAAAATATTTTAATCTTCTGAATAGTATTACATTAGATGATCATATAATACAGTTTTAATTTAGATTATGAAAATTAATTACTGTTAAACAGATAATTTTTTAAAAAAAAATATAGTGATCATGTGATTCCAAAATATGCATATATGAATATTATATATTATTGTTATCATTAATTATATATCATGTATTATTATTGTTATTCATTATATATATTATACAGTATGTTGTTGTTATCATTAATTTTATCATATGATATTATTATTATCAATATTATATTATATAATTTTTGACTAATTGTTTTTCTTTATGACCCTTCATTCTATTGGTTATTTTCTAATCTCTTATTATTATAATTCCTTCAATATTATTTTTTTTACTATAAAGGATCATAAGATATGTCGTTCTGAGATTTTTTGACTTCACAATATGATGATTGATATTTTTAAATTTTAGATTATTATCAATTATAAATGTTAGCCATCATAATATAAATTTAAAATATATAAGAATTGATTAAAATTAGTCTTAAAAAGCTAAGTAATCAATATAATTTTGATAACTAAAGGTTATAAAGCATAGCAAGTAATATATCAAATATTGAATAGTAAAAATTGAATCTAAAATAGTCTAAAATCTAAATTAATACAAGTAATATATAATAAGAACTTAACTAAATCTATAATTCAATTACTTTTGAATACTTTCATATAAAAATGATCTTAAAAATCCTCTTTTTATTATATCTAATCAAACTCTTATTATTGTATCTATTTCTAAAAAAAAGATATTATATTATATACTATTTTATTTTAATATTAATAAATTTTATAATTGCATATTTAGTAAACTTATAAATATTTTTTGATAAACAAATTTTTTAGTGATATCTTAAAAAAAATTATTGAAGCTTCTATATGGAATTGCTAATAAAATCAAATCATAAGGTAAACTTACTTAGCATCATCTAGAAAAATTGGTTGCCATATTTTTTGCTAGGTATTTATTATTATGTTAGAATTAGAATTAATATTAGTATTAGAGTAGAATTAGAATTAGTTAAGGGGGTTAGGAAATATATCACATCCCGGCCGTTCTTCATTTTACCAAGTATCCTAGGAACATGGATGAGAAAAATGCTAATTGTCACAAGTATTATGTCACACCTATAAGGACGCTAGGACGGTTTCATAATAAAACTTTTAAGGTATTTAATCATGTAAAAGTTTGATCAAAGGAGAGTTTATTGTTTTTAATAAACTGTCAATAAATAAACAAATTATTTTCTATTATAAAAGTAACCTTGCATTGTTAAATAAAAAACACGAAACATTTATGTCAAAGAACAAATGTTTAATAACTATTATCTAATTTTTAAACCACATGAATGATAAGCATATCAAATTGAAATAATTTAATTTTTATTTTATAATCTACAAATGTTTCTTTTTTTTTATAGTACAGTATAATAAAATCGTCGATCGTACAGCATCAAATGAAAACAAATTATAATTCATCTCTAGAAGGTTTAGTAGGATCAGTTGATTCATCATGATCTTGTTCGTCAAATAGATCTTCGGTTTCAACCTTTTCTTTCTTTTCTTCATCTTTATCAGCTTCTTCAGCTGGCGTAACATTAACTTCAGCTTTCGCATTAAGATCAACTCCCAAATTAGTTCGGAGAATTTTCTCAACTCGTGATGCATATCTACATAAAGGTTGGTAATTAGCAAAAAATTGATTTTAAAGAAACAAAAGCTTAAAATGAAAAGCTTACCCTAAATTGTCCTTAAGTGAATATCCAGATCGAATTAAAGTTGTTTCATATAATACACGAACCATTTCTTTAGTATTTGCATCGAAAGCATCATTTTCAGCTTTATCAAATAATCCGATGATTAAAGGATGGTTGGGATTAATTTCAAGAATTTTCTTTTGTTTAGCGTAAAATTCTTTAAGTAAAGGATTTTCTTGCTTGAAGGCTTGGGCTATTTTATTTATAAACGAATAACAATTTTATTAATATATAATATTGAACAAAAACATATCGTATAAGGAAAAAAAAATTTTAATAAATTTACCTGCCATAATCTTTTCCATATTTCCAGTCCAACCCCAATCAGTGGCGACAACGGCACAAGGTGATGTCGTAAGACGTGTAGAAACCTCAACTATAAAAGGTAAACGAGATTAATATGCATGTAAAACAATAATATATAAAATATGAAATCTTCCTTACTTTTTTCAACTTGGTCAATGAGAGTAGCTTGCATATGATCAATCAACTTGACGAATTTTGATTTTAACTTTTGAGATTCAACTAAATCTTCATCACCGAATTTGAAATCGCCTTTAGCAATATTTTGGAACATTTTGCCACCATGACCGGGCATATGTTGAACCAACATTTCATCAATAGGTTCAACCATATATAAAACTTCAAAACCTCTTGCAACTAATCCTTCAACGAAAGGAGAATTTTGGACTTCTTCGACAGAACCTCCAGTGATGAAATACATTTTATCTTGTCCCTTTTTCATTCTACTAATATAATCATCGAGTGTTGTTGAATTTGCCTCTTTATATGAACTCGGGAATTTTAAGATTTGCGCAATTTTTTTACGATTACTATTATCTTCGATAGCTCCAATTTTCAAGCTTGTACCAAATTCACTCAAGAATTTCTCATATTTTTCATCATCTTTTGTTAGATCTGCAATTAAATCTAAACATTTTTTGATGATACGTTTTTTGATCAATTGAAGAGTCCTGTGTTCTTGAAGTGTTTCACGCGATACGTTCAATGGTAAGTCATCGGCGTCGATTATGGCGCGAATAAAACCCAAATATTTTGGAATGAAATCAAGGAATTCATCAGTAATAAAGACGCGTTTGACAAATAATTTCACGTTACGCGCGTAATCTTGAACTTTTTGGAACAGACCCTCAGGGGCTTTGCTTGGAATATACACAATGGCCTTAAAATCAACTTCTCCTTCAGCCTACAAAGAGTGCTTATAAGTTAAAATTTTATCCTTTTTTTCAATTTAAAAAAATCACAAGATTTGTTACATACTTTGAAATGAGTCCAAGCTATAGGTGGATTGCTATCTTTCGCGAACGACATGTAGAAATTTTCATATTCAAGTTCAGTAACGTTCTTTGGGTCACGAGACCAAATAGGTTTTTGAGTATTCATCAGTTCCCATCCTGGTACTTCAATAGTTTCGGTCTTTTTTTCTTTCTTTTCCTCTTCGGGTTTATCAGGCACGTCTTCAATTTCAGGTTGATCTAAATCATCGTCATCTTTATCATCATCATTAGATGTCTTTGGTTCAACATTTTCATCAGGGGTTTCATCAACTTCAACAACCTGAGTTTGTTTTGTCCATAACCAAATAGGGAAGTTAATAAATTCGGAATATTTTAAGATGAGATCACGTAAGACACCATCTTCGAGAAATTCCAAAGCGTCATCTTTGAGGTATAATTTAATTTGAGTACCACGACCTAAAGTGTTTCCTCGAGGGTCTTCAGCTATAGTGAAATCATTAACAGCTTGCGATTCCCAGATATATTGTTTATCTTCGTTGTTTTTTGTTGTAACCACTACTTTATCAGCAACCAAAAATACCGAATAAAATCCCACACCAAATTGCCCTATTAAATTCATATCGGCTTTTTTCTCTTCCATTGCACTTAAAAATTCCGATGTTCCTGATTTCGCTATTGTTCCAAGATTATCTTTAAGTTGTTTCTTGGTCATCCCTATACCACTATCTGAAATTGTCAATACTTTATTATCTTTATCAACCCAAATTGTTATGTTTAAAACTGGTGCTGCCGATAATGCATTGGGATCTGTAAGCGACAAGAACCTTATCTTATCAATGGCGTCAGAGGCTGTTAAGGTAAATGGATAAAAATAATTAGAATTTAGGATCAAGTAGCACAACAAGCAAATAAACCAAAATTAATTTTACCATTGGAAATGAGTTCTCTCAAGAAAATTTCACGCGTTTTGTATAACGAATTGATGATAAGTTTCATCAATCGGCTAACTTCGGTCTAGATGAACAAATTTAAAATTGTTAATCATTTGTTTTGAATTATCAATCTAATATATAAGTTAGTTACTTTTTACGCAAAAATGGATACCGAAAAAATAAACTCCCGTGACATTTAATATTTACATTAATTTAAATTCATGTGACAATTAGTAAATAAAAATAAATTCAAGTCATAACGGGATGCTTATTTTCGGAAGTATGCGGTATTTTAAATCCTATCTAAATCAACGCATAATATAAATTCCTTACCTCAAATGTATATTTTTCTTCAGTAGCTTTAATTTTTTCAGCTTCTTCTTCGGTAAAACCAAACCTATTTTCACCTTGAAGAACCAATTTAGGCGATTCCACGGAATCATTGATAACTTGTTTCACCGAGCCTTCTTGTTCATCACCTTCCTCGGCGGTAACAAGATTATTCGATGAAAATAAAATAAAACTAACTAAACATGATATCAATAAAAGAAGCCAAATTTTAGACTTCATCTTGATTATGCTTTACAATCACACTGAAGGAAAAGAAATGGCAATTGGATTGGATGAATTAAAGATTCCGTAAAAGAGAAGTAAATTTTTTTTTCGAAGGAAAAATGGTTCTTTATATAGTGATAATTTTTTTTTTAATACATCGAATGTGTCATTTAGTGATTGGATAAGATCGTCTTTATTGTATTGGAGATTATCAACGAGAAACGTGGCATTTCGACATTAATTTCTCGAATATTCTACAATTTCATGATAGGATCGAAGTGAGAATCTTAAAATAGTCCGTGAGTTTCACGTGAACTGAATCCCACGTTATAAAAAAAATTTAATGATATTGTTAACTTTTTGACCTAATGATAGTTTCCCAGCGAATATAAGTACAACCTTCTAGGACCAATTCGCAGATCACTGCCAAAAGAAGCCATAGTTTCTTAACCGCAACCTGACGATCAAAACGGCTGAAACTATGAAAAACGATCATAACGTCGTTAACGAAGTTACCTATGTTAAGGTTTATTTAGTTTAAGTTGTTCATGTAGTTACAATGTTTCTATAGTTTTCAAGTTGTACTTTATTTTTAATTAGCAAGAGGTAGATCAATAATTTTATATAAATAGGATAGAATTTTTCTTAGGATTAAGTGGAAAAATTAAGTGTTCTTTTGAATCAAGTGATTGAATAGTCTAGTTTTGAATATAAAAAACATTTGTACATGTACAGTTGGGGTCGGTCAACTAATTAAATCAAAACTATGTATGGACCCATATAAAATTTAGTATTGGAATTTTTTATATTGAGGTATATTTAAAATATAGTCCTATAATAAATTTCTTATTAAATTGATGCAATTTCAAACTTCTATAACTTTGAACTCTTCCCATTTTTTTACATTTCAAACTTTTCGAAAACATTTAGAAACACTATATTTTTCATGTAAAAGCTTGTTTTTAAAAAAAAGATCATTTACACTTCAAAAATAATTAAAAGCATTGTTTTAAGTCATACCTATCTAAGTAAAATTTTTTTTTTATTGTTTTTTTTAAAAAAGTGAGGTGTCATATTATATTATAAGTTATTCTGTATTCATTTAACTATTTATATTCTTTGAATACTAACTGAATGCAAAGTTATCAAATTTTTAAGATTTCAAATTTTTTAACAGGAATGCCTCCAATTTCAAAACGCGCTTTCAGTTGAAAAGAGCATGCAAAATTTAAGCACAAAAATTAAAAGAAAAGAAAAATAACGATGAGATAAATCAAGTTAATAGTCAACGAAATAAATTAATAGCTAAAGTTCAACAATTGTCTGATAAAAAGGTTTCAGCAGCCAATCATCTTATTGCTACTATGCACTATCCAGAAGGCAGTTTAAATGCAGGAAAAATTCTATCACCATATCTTCAAGACAAAGTATATGATACTTTTACTAATAATTTTTATAAGCATCACCAAGAAAATAAATCTTTAAAAGATGAAATTAATAGACTAGAATTATAAAATAAAAGGTTTTATAATTAAACAAATAAGTTGATTGGAAAGACAAAATCACTTGGAGCTCAAGTAGAACATTTGTGTAATCAAAATCACAGTATATCTCAGAAATTCACTCTTTAGTTCAAAAATCTTCAAAAATATCAGATGCTGTATTTAAAGATAAGATTCAATCTCTCTTTATGATCAATAAATGACAATATACGTCTAATGCAATTTGGTTTGCATTTAGTATTACACAAACTGAAGAAATATCAATGCGTTCTACAGTTGAATGCACTAAGTTAATTTATGAATTTTTAACTGAAGAGCTTTCACAAAATTGGCTATCAACTTCAATATTACACACATGGTATAAAGATCTTTCTCAGTTATATATCAATAATCAAATTACTTAAATTACAAATACACTAATATTTGGAATCATGGTTGATGAATCTACTCATAATGAGATTAAAAATTTTGTTCTTTACTATAAAGTATAGAGTGAAAAGAACAAACTTCAATTATTACTATGTCAAGTCTTAAAAATATTCCAAGATATAATAGTGAGACAGTTTCTAATCTGGTTATTCAATCAATTCAAAAGAATGATCTTGATATTGTTAAATACATCTTATAGGTTACTGATAATACAGCCTATATGTCAAGTAATAAAAATGGTGCTGTTTCTCTTTTAATAAAAAAACTGATATAAGTGCCTTTCAAATTGGTTACAGCCTTCATATTATGCAAATTATTCTTAATCATTTTGAACAAGAAGTATTTGGCAAAATTACTACTAGTTTTTTATGAAAATTACATTTATATAATCTTTTATATCTGTTATGACATTGACATGATGGTTACAATTCTAGCAATAAAGACAAACCTCTAAATATTAATGCATCAATAATTAAAAATTTATATGATAGCTTAATAGGATTTCATTATAATTAGTATCAGCTTCCACTTCGTTTTCAATAGGGCTATGAATTAAAAATAGTTAAATAATATTTAAATCAACGTAAAACTCATATTTCATTTGCTCATTAGTTTATAATTTAATTGGAAAATTATTATAATACACTAAAGGCATATTTAAATGATTAGTGTCTTTTTGAATCATAGTTATATAATCTATTAATTAACATTTAAATAAAATGCTTAGTAAATTTCACTAAGCATTTTTATAAACCATTAGTACAATTTATAATAGGTAGGAATCCTAATTTATGATTTATACAAAATGAAAAGTTAGTTTAATTACCTCTTAAAAGATGAATACATAAAATGCTAGAGAAAGTTTTTGAATAAAAAGCTTTTCTTGAGTATCTTAAAAATAATGTAAATATATTTTTCACTGATGAATTATTAGAAGCTATTGAAATATTGACAAATAATGAATTTGAAGATTTTTTAATAATTTGGAAAGTAAAATGAATAAAGCCTATGAATATTTTGAAAAATGGTTTAATCTATAGCTTCATTTACCTCTAGTATTTGTCATCTAGGTGGAGACTTTATACATTCGTTCACCAACAGTTTTTATTTTATAATTTTAAAAAGAGACTGGAATAAAACTCCTATAGATAGGGAATTAAGATTTGCAAAAGACTTAAAAAATGATATTAATTGTAAAATTAATGATATTTTGATTTAAAAAAAAGGTATTAGATAATAAAGAATTTGATGATAAATTTGAAGAATTTTGCAAGACTGATAATCCTATACTATATAAATTTCTATATCTCTACAATTTTGTTTCGTTATAACACATATTTATTTTATTATTATTTATCAGCAACAGATTGAAGGACTTTTTAATAAATTAGATTTAAAAACTCATACAAATATGTCATTATTTCTTAAACAATCAAAACTTCAATTAGTCTCAGATAAGATTGAAAAAAAGGATTTATCTGCAAGTCTTAAATAAATTTGTATTAAAAGAAAACAAAAACAAAAACAAATTCTGCTTTAAGATAAGCAATCACCATTATTTGAAAAAGAAATTGCATCATATCTTTTTAATTGTTTATTAGATAATAAATAAATAATGTATATGTATATACATTATAAGTTAAAATTTTTATAATTGTCATATTCAGAAAATATAATGGGATTAACATTTATCGTTATGTATACATGATAAAAAAATTCAATAGTAAATTTTATAGGGGTCTATATATAGTTTTAATTTAATTAGTTGACCGTTCACCCTAATATACAATACATAGCATTGACTGAGATAGTACTTATTTATAATTCTTATTAAAATAAACTATTCAACATTAACATATTTTTTAACATCTGCTTACTTCTATTTTTATTGAATACTTATAACAAATAAGTATCTTAAAGAAACTATAACAATATAATGCTTTAGTTTTCTTTTATATCTTCAATGATCACACTCTCATGAAATAAATGATCAAAAAACTTCAACTTTAATGTTATAAGTAAATTTATACATTATAATAAATAGTATATATTTCGTAAAATTTAGTTTTTATTGAATTTATTTAATTTTAACTATAATACATGAATTTTAATGTTAAATTTTTTTATTTGAATTATAGACTAGTAAAAATATTCTCTAGAAAATATTTTGCTTTTAACTTTTAAAAATAATAGTTAATAAATATTTATTATTATGAATATAATAAATAATATAATAAAATATGTATGACAAATAAAAATGTTATCGTATAAGAAGCATATCATAAAATGTTTATTTTTAAATGATATGATATACTAGTATTTAAATAAATTAATAATAATTAGTAAAAAATTAGACAATAAATATTTTATTTATATTATATAAAAAGTTTTATTTGATTTTATTTATATATTATACTATATATTAATTATTAAAAAATAAATTTAATATATAAAAATATTAATAAAAAAAATAAAGTAGCATTAGATTTATAATTATATTTTTATAAGGTTAATATAGTTTTATCATAATTTTTAATAAAATTTTATCTTTTATTATTTAAATAATTTATTAAATTTTAAGTTATATTAAATAATTATAATATAAATAAAAATAAAAATATAATTATACTTGATAATTATTTATAAATATAAATATGATATAATAAATTTGAATTAAATATATAATTTCTTAGTATTACTTATTCTAAAAAAGTTAATTTTTTTTATTAATTACTTTTTAGTAATAAATACTATTATAATCATCAAATAGATTTTTATTTTTATATTTACAATTTTTTTTTAAATTTGTATTCTATTATAATATTTTTATATAAATATTTAAATATAGTAAATGAAAATAAATTATAAAATAATAAAAATAAACTTTATTATATGTATTTAATATAATATTTTATTATCATTCACTTTTATTTATCTTATTGATATGTTATTTACTAAATTAATATGAATTTTTTATTGATTTCTTCTTTTCTTTAAAAATTATCTCAAGAAAATTATTTATATTAACTGAATTTTTTATTAACTAAATCATTAATGTGTTTCTTTATCCTATTTTTTAAAATAGACTAAAATTCTTAATTACAAAGGGTTGCTAAAAGTCTCTAAATGCTTTTTGGCTTAATAAATCATTTAAAATTTTAAAATTTAATTAAATAATTTATTAAATATTTATTAAAAATGACATATAAAATAAATT